TAAAGATCTTATTTGGCATTTTAACATGGGTCAGCTCAGTGTGGCAGAGGAAGCTAAGGGCATAAGAGGGTGAGCCAGACACTGGCTCTGACCTCTCGGAGCTTGAGGGGGCTCAAGTGTGGGGACACAAAGAAGACATGAACAGTACAGACAGAGTCCTGTGAGGGTCTGGAGCTGGGAGCGACCATGCTCCTGGCTGAGGTGTCTGGATTTGAGATCCACAAGAGGTAAGAAGGTACACGCACCTGGGTCACAGCAAGGCATGTGTGGTACCTGGAGCACTTCCTTCCTAGTGTGTGGGTCTGGGAAACTCTTCATACCACTGTTCAATCCGTTCTCTGTATCAGGTGTCCCCAACTCCTGGGTCGTGGACCAGTACCCATCTGTGGCCTGTTAGGAACCAGCCAGCACAGCAGGAAATGAGCGATGGGTGAGCGGAGCTCTATCTGCTGTCAGATCAGAGGCGGCATTAGAGTCTCAACGGGCGCAAACCCTCTTGTGAACTGCACATGCAAGGGATCTAGGTTGTGTGCTCCTCAAGGGATCTAGGTGCCCGATAACATCTCACCCCACCCCCCTGCTGCCACCATCCATGGAAAAACTGCCCTCCATGAAACCGGCCCCTGATGCCAAAGGTTGGGGACCACGCCCTGCAGGATAGCAGCGTAGCAGAGCTGGCGTGTCACCACGGGTCTGCCTCCGGCGCATCGCCCATCACTCCCACACCGTCTGTAGCTCCCAGGTGCACAGCAGTGGGACTGGGTAGAGAAGCCCAGCATCTAGAGCGGCCAGAGAATGTGCTAGAAGCAAACTGCTAGGCTGAGAACATGGGTTGGGGAGGCCCAGGCACCTCAGCTGCACGGGCTAGTTCTGTCACTCTCCGTGAAGGGAGCCAGACCTCTGTGCTGCAGGCTGCCTCTGCCTCCCCACCACCCTCATCCCCCAGAGCCCTGGGCTGCTGGCAGGCTGGCTCTCCTGTGATATGGAGGAACTTGTTGGTCTCCATGGTTACAGTAACCCACTCTACGGGAGGAACCACGTGAAGCGGGAGACTGGCAATGTGAGCTTCCCCAGCCCTTGGTACCATGTCATACTGGTATGTCGGCTGCTTCTGGGACCTTTTCTAGGAGCAAGGAGTTAAGGAACCGATGAGGATGGGAAGAGCCTAGTCAAGATCCTGCAGGGCCATCTTCATGGTCCTTTGGACCACACGTAGGGCGGAGGTGTGGCCGCCTTGTCATCTGCCCGCTTCTCTTGGCCGGATGGTTTTCTCTGAGGAAGGAGCGTTCTCTGTGCCTGATGGCCAAGCCGTGTCAGGAAGAGACACCAGGGTGGTGGGAATCAGCTTAGTGGCACTGGGTCTTGTCAAGATCTCAGAGGCTCCAGCTCTTCCCAGGGCCCCGAGAACCTGTTGAGATGGGAAGCAAAGGTTCCTGCTCCACACTGGAGAGGGATGATGATAACAACATTGTCAAGGCATGACTGAGAGGCCGGCACTGTGGCCAACGCTGGCTTGGATTTTCTCGCTGAATTTTCACTCGCATCTCAAGTTCCAGATGAGACTGAGGTTTGAGGAAGTCATGTAATCAGGCTCATGTTCAACCAACAAGTAGCAAAGGTGGACAGAGAAGCTATGGTAAGTCTTCCGTAGTTTCCTGTTGGTGAGTTTCTAGAAGAAGCCGGATCTCACGGGACTTTACAGCTGGAACCCGCGCCCTCGAGGTGGGTGCTCAACAGAGGTTTGCTGAGGGTTCAGAGACCCAGCCCCAGGGAGCAGATTCTCAGGACCGAAGTGATGCGGAAAGCTTCTGCAGCCTGCCTGCTCAGTGGAGTCCATCGTGTTTCTAGAGGAGCCCAGAATTTCTGGCGGCCCCGCAGAAGAGGCGATGGAGGAAACCTCTTCGCCTTGTGGCTTCCCGGCATGGAGGGCAGCGAGCTGGCAGTAGCTCTCTGTTCTCTCACCTGTACCAGTTCTTCCCAGTCTGGCGCTAGCTTCCGCTGAGATGACTTTGAGGCCTGCAGGCGCCCCCCACGGCCCAGGCTGCAGGGCTGGTCTCCCTGCCTTGGGGTGAGGGTTGCAGCTCAGAGTTTCCAGGTGGCAGGTCCACTTAGTGTGGACTTTGTGTGAAGTTGCAGGCTCTGCTCATGTCCACATTGCTTCTATGCTGGCTGGAAGAAGGGAGCAGCCCCACCTCCCCCTACAAGGGGATGTTAAGGGAGCATCCAGCCTCTCTGCCAGTAAATGCCTGCCATAGTTTATAAGTTGTCTCCCACCTCACATGCTCCTCTGGTTTCTTTCTTTCTTTTTTTTTTTTTTTTGAGTTGGAGTCTCACTCTGTTGCCCAGACTGGAGTGCAGTATCCGCTCCCGGCCACCGCAGCCTTAACCTGCTGGGCTCCGGCGATCCTTCTGCCTCAGCCTTCCAAGTAGCCAGAACTACAGGCACGCACTACCACGGCTGGCTAATTTTTTATTTATTGTAAAGATGAGGTCTCACCAAGTTGCCCGGGCAAGTCTCAAACCCGCAGGCTCAGGCAATCCACTCACTGCAGCCTCCCAAAGGGATTACAGGCTGAGCCACCAAGCCCGGCTTCCTCTGGTTTCTTGACTCTTGGCAGTTGCCAGTGACATTTGCTCAGGATCAAAGAATGCAAAGACACTTCCTAGATGCAGTGAAGGGAGAAGTGTTTAAAAAACTAGGGTCTTGACCAGGTTCGGTAGCTCAGCCTATAATCCTAGGACTTTGGGGTGCTGAGATGAATGGATTGCTTGAGCCCACAGGTTCAAGACCAGCCCAGACAGCTTGGTGAGACCTCCTCTCTACAATAAATCAGAAATTAGCCAGGTGTGGTAGCGCATGCCTATAATTCCACCTACTTGGAAGGCTGAGCTGGAAGGATCGCTGGAGCCCAGCAAGTCAATGCTGGGGTGGCCGTGCGTGTGCCACAGAACTCCAGCCTGGATGACAGAGTGAGACTCCAATTCAAAAAACCCAAAAAAACTAGAGTATTAGCCACAGCCACGTGACTTTCATCTAGCTCCTGCCCTCTCTCTCCTTGCCTCTCTGAGGTCAGTGCTCGGTACTTCCTCAGTTTACAAAGCCCCTAATTGTCTCCTCCAAATAGGATTGAGGAAACAGTCCTCTGTCACATTGCAGAACCCTAGAGACGGAAAATGAAGCTGTTGGGTCCTGCTCTGGCTCCTGAGTCTGCCAGTCAGCAAAGGGGCAGGTAGTTCAGGCAGGCCTGAGCCCAGGTCCAGAACCAACCGTGGCCTCTTCCACTAAGGTCAGGGCCCATTTGGGGAAGGGGTGGGAGAAGGAGGCATTGCTGTGAGACCACCTGGCTAGACCTCCAAAACCACACTCCACCACTGGCCTATTCGCACATTGTCATTCCCATTGTCTAGGCACCTATCCTGCGTCTTCATACCTCTCCCCGACTCCCAGCATGTGGAGGAAGAACCGGGACTCCCCTTCTTTTGGGGGGGAAATGAGAGCAGATTAGGCATCAAGAAGGGTTGATGAAGGCCAGCACAGTGGCTCATGTCTATAACCCAGCACATTGGGACGCCAAGGCGGGAGGACCCCTTGAGCCCAGGAGTTTGAGACCAATCTGGGCAACCTAGCAAGACCTTGTCTCTGCACAAATTTAGCCAGGTGTGGTGGCATGCACCTATAATCCCAGCTACTTGGTTGACTGAGGCAGAAGGATAGCCTGAGCCCAGGAGAACAATACCGGGGTGAGCTGTGATCGTGCTTGCACTCCAGCCTGGGTGACAGGGTGAGACGCTGACCCACAAAAAAAAGTTGATGAGACTCTGGTAAGGGCCACTGGCTGTCCGAAACATCAGAGTGCAGCAGTGGGAACGAAACGGAAGCTACGAGACTTTGGGCAAGTCTCATAACCTTGAGTGTCCATTTCTTGATGGAAAGTGGGATGCTACCTGCCCCAGAGATCTGTGTGTGGGGAAAACAGAGTGAGTGCTGGGCACCCGTGCCGTCAGAAGTGTTGGGTTCTTATGAAAGCAGACATGGCTTGGCCGCCCCAGTAGCATGGTTCCCCAGAGCTCGTGCTGAGGTGCTTGAGGGCACGAGGAAGCCTTGGCCTTCCCCAGGGGGGTTATGGCCTGCTGAGGTGAGATTTCAGAGCTGCTTCGTGGGAAAGATCCTAGCCGGGAGTCATGGAATGAATGAGAATGCGTCGTCCTCTGCGAGCAGAGGAGTGACTGTGGCCAGGGCCCAGGCAGGGCCAGCCGTCTGGAAGGAGAGTGTTCTCCTGATGACGTGCCCTGACCTGGGACTTTGCAGGGGTTCCAGGCCCCTGGAGCTCCTGGCAGAAGCAGTGCGGTGTGGGGCCGAGGTGGGGGTTTGGTGACGGCGGCGCGGAGGCAAGTGGGAGCCTCGGGGATCGCCTTCCAGAAGTAGTTCTGGAGGGGACATGTGGATTGTTCCCCAGCCTTTGGGCAAAGTCTAGGATTAGGCATCTCCTTCTCTGTGGGTGATAAAGGCTCTCCATCGAGAACCCACAGACCTCTGAGGGCTTCGCAGCACTCTAAACCCCTGAATTATGTCCCAGTTGTCTTGTGTCTAAGTGGAGTGTGCATTTTTCTAGGGTTAAGCGCTGCTTTTTTAGGAAGTAGGAGGTCCATCTGCCACCGTTGGCTTGCTGGCTTCTGCTCACCCCCTCCCCCCTTCTTTTGCGACGGGGTGGTTTGCTGGTCTTCGGCAGGGCTGCCACTCTGGGTTAGCACGCCTGAGTCATACAGATTCCGCCCAGCTCTGCTTGAGGCCTGGTTCCAGGGATCTGTGGCTGCCCAGGTCCTGCCTGCTGCAGGTGAGGTGGGGCTTTATGACAGCCCTGGCTGCAGTGAGTCTCCTCGCCCTGCCCTCCCAGCTGTTACGGCAGAGCACCTTGGGGAGGGTGGGGCAGCCTGCTTCCGGGGAGGGAGGGGGGAGGGGAGCAGGAAGTTGGGCTAAACCCGCCTCTCTCTCCTGGCCCCTTCCTGCCCGCTCCCCTCCTGGCCCTTTCCTTCCACCTTGCCCCTGGCGCAGTGTCCTGGAACTGCTGAGTCCCGGCCACCAGGCTCGGGCCCTCGCGAGGCCGCCGGGCTGTGGCCCTGTTGCTCTCCTGGCCAAGCCCAGTCTCTCTCTGCTCCTGGTGGTTTCGGTTGCGACACCGTCCAGTTCCCAGGCAGGAACCGCTCACCCGCCCGGCTGCCTGGCTGCTCTTCACTGAGGAGGTGGTGGTGGTGTCGCGGCTCCGGCTGAGTAAGGGTGGCTGGTTGTGCGCCCCCGCCCTGGGCCTGGCTCATCCGGCCTCTGTACTTTGCCCTCGCTGCCTGACAGGTTCCGCTGTGGCTCTGCTGCATGGAAGTCGCTGGCGGGCCTTGCCCCTTTCTCCAGCTGGGTATGTTGGCCCCCCTTTCCCTCTGGGATCGCCCCCTCCTCTTCCCCCTGCCCGCCTCAAATGTAGGACCAGAGTGTTGCTCAGTGGCGCCAGGTGGGCACCGGGACGGGGCGGGGGCAGAGTTCACAGGAAGGGTGTCCCGAGTGGGAGAGGTGTCGGCTAGGCACGGAAGCGGGGACCGGCAGCAGGCAGGAGCCTCCCTGAGGTCGAGTCAAGCAGGCTCCACAGGTGGGAGAGGCAGGCGGCGGGCTTTGCGACAGGCCACCAGGCAGCTGCGCACGGGGAGGGTGCTCCGGTGCCATGCTGGGGGGAGCCAGGGTCTGGGCTGTTGCCCCAGGCGAGTGCCCGAGGGGTGCTTTTCCTCTGCTGGCCACATGCCGACTCACCTGCCTCTGGCCCGGGGCACCTGCTTTGACCCCTCACCCCAGGCCCGGGAAGCCCCGGAACACTTGAGGCCGGCCTGGATCGCAGAGCCCCAGAGTGCGAGCTTCCCTTGGGGAGGGCTCGCTGGGAGCCGCCAGCATGAGGGCTGGGGGCCCTGCCCACCTGAGTCAGCGCCGGGCTCTCGGGGTGAGGCTCTTCCGGGCTCACCTGGCAGCACGCCTAGGCCGAGTTCTGAGATCCCGGGCCCCAGGGCTCTGGCAGACCCGGTGGGTGTAAAACTGCTACTTTGCTCCTCCATGTCCTGCCTTCTCTCGGTCGCAGACTCCAGAGCCGTTTTGGCCCACTTCTCAATCAGGCCCTCTGGCCCGCCCTTCAGTTCCAAGAAGCGCCTTGCAGGATGACCCTCTTGTGCGCGCTGAAGCGGCTTGAGAGCTGCGGGGGCTGCTTTGGACGGACCTCCTCAGCCCTCGGGGTCTACCTGGGACGTGATGCCAGCTGGAGCCTTGGGGATGCCTGGTCTGCCACATCTCCCCTTGAGCCGGGGGGAGGGAGGTGGCGGGAGAGCATGGCTTTCACCGGGTCCTCTTGGGTGCCCGGCGGGACGGCGGTCCTCAGCTCGCCACTGTGTTGGCAAGACCTAGGGTCAGCCCACGGCAAGGCCGGAACCACAGAGGGGAGGCTACAACCCTTGTCTTCTCTCCCCCCGGGAAGCAGCCCGAGGGGAGTGCCTCACTGGGCCGTGGTCCGAGAAGCCTTTCTGCCGGAGGCGTTCCCCATCCTCCCACCCTGTCCTCCTTCCCTGCTGGGGGAAACATCTTGCACCTTAGAAGGGTGCAGGGTGGGGGAGGGGAGGGGACTGGGTGCTTTGAGCCCTGAGTTGGTGACTTTCAGAGCAGGGGATCAGTGCTGCCTGCTTCTCTGTGCTCGACATGTCACCGTGTCCACCACGCTGGGTGCCCGCGTGGGACAGCCCTTCACAGCTGCCCTGGCTGAGGCCTGGCTACACTTGTGCCCTCTGGTAAAGGCTGGAGGGGCTGTTGTTGGCCGATGACAAGCCCTGGGGAACGTGGCCTTTAAGCACATTCAGCCCGGCCCCCTCGCCCATGGAGAAGGCCCCAGCATCTCCTGCCAGCGTCCAGCAGGGCTGTCGCTGGCCTAGTGGGGCTCAGTAGAGATGTGGGGGGAGTTGACAGCAAGACCCTGGCTTTGCAGACAGGAGTGTCTGGAGACATGGTGGCTGCTCTTTGCTGGGCATTGGGTGGAGCGTGGTGTGCTTGTTCCCTCACCCACCCGTGTGAAGTGGGGCTTCCTTCTTGCCACTCTGCAGATAAGGCTACTCGCGTGAGTAGCTGGGGAATCCTGGGCCTGATCCCGGCTCTCTCAGGTTTCTGCACTTCTCCAGACTGCCACCTGCCGTGGGCCAGCATTCGAGGCTCTTCCTCCCCTTTGACATAGCCTTGCCTTCCTCTTGAGGATGTTGGTGGTGGTGATCGTCGAGTCAGTGTGTGTGGAGTAGCTGGCAGAATTAGGATGTGAATGCCGGCAGTCTGCCTCTGGTGTCTGCAGTCTTCATCTTAACCAGAAGGGAAGGGCAAGCGGGGTGTCCTGTTTACAGTTGTTGATGCTTCCTGAGGCTCAGCAGCCGCCGAGGTCGCAGGGACTACTGTCCTGCCGCGCCACACAGCCCGGCCCCTGGGCCGCCAAGTGGGATGGGATAGCAGAGCGGGTGGGCAGGGGACACCCAGACTTGGCTCGGGGGACAGAGGGCTCCCTCCCCAGGTGAACGCTGAGTCCCGATTTTGGATTTTGAGGACTGGGAGACCGTCGCGCTTCCGCCGCCTTGGGCTTGTGTCGAGAAACAGAAGGTGAGCTAGAGGTTGCTGAGGAAGCCTTCCCACCCATCTTCTTCTCATGGGGGTTGGGGCGGAAGGAAGGCCTTCCCTGTTCACGGCCCTTAGGCAGACTGGTGGAGCGGGAGGGAGTCAGAGGCCACTTCAGGGAGGAGCGGCTGAGAAGGGGCAGGCTTGAGGCCAGGCCTAGACCTGCTGGTATCGGCAGGGTCTCGAGGTGTCCTTCGCTCTTGGAGTTCTTTCGGGAGGGAAAAAGCAAGGTATCCCACGGTCTGCTGTGTGGCAAACACTGTCTGAGAACCAGGCAGGCTTAGGAGGGCCGCAGGGTGTGTGGAGAGCAGAGGGCCAGGGAGCACCTTGGGCCGGGAAGGGCAGACGGTGAGGGCCGGGGCCTCCTGGAGGTGCGAGGAGTGGGAGGACTTAAAGGAGAGAGGATGCTCCCTGAAGGGCCGAGGAGGCTACAAGGGCCCCTGCTGGGACGAGCAGCCTCCCTCTGCAAAGTCTACCAGATGCATGGATCTTTTTCTTCCGGGGTCCAGCCGCATGTGCTTCTGGCATCTGGGTCAGACAGCTCACCAAAAATCAGCCCCCAGCTGCCACGCAGAGGCCCTGTGTGGACGCAGCAAGGAAGGCACAAGTCAGAATCAGGGGACGGTACTTGTTGCCGTTGTTTCTGCCTGAAAAACATCTGACTGAACAGCCAGGCTTCTTGCCCAGGAACCCTGGACAGTTCCTTGGGTAGTAGCAAGTCGTTCTCTTTCTCTGTGGTGTTTGAGGACTTTGCTGAACTGCCAGCGGGGGCCAGGAAAAGAAGAGCTTTGACGCACACTCCTCTGGTCACCCTGCTGCCCTCCAAACTGTCCCCTTGAAGTTTCCAAGGCGGCTCTGGGTAGTTCTGGCCTGAGACTGGCACAGCTTTGTTGCAGCTTTTTGCTGGAGAGGTGTACCACGTGTTCTTTGAGAGTGGTAGATCAGGGCTCTAGACAGAAGCTAGGCAGACACTTGCTTAATGGGTTTCTTGAGAGAGAATTCACATACCAGACAGTTCACCCGTTTGAGGTGCAGATTGAGTGGTTCTTACTAATTTCACCAGAGGTGTGTATCCGTCACCACAGTCAATTTTAGGACATGCTTATTACCCCAAAAAGAAACCCCACGTCCCTTGGTTTCACCCTCACATCCTCAGCTCTAGGTGACTACTGTTCTGCTTTCTGTCTCTGTAGATTCAGGCATTTCATAGAAATGGAACCATGCACCATGTGGTCCTTTGTGACTGACCCTCTTCACTTAACATACTGTTCTCAAGGTTCTTCTGTGTTGTGACATACATCAGTACTTCATTTCTTTGTATTGCCAACTAATATTCCACTGTGTATATCTGCTACTTTTGTTTACCCATTCATCCAGTTGATAGACATTTGAGTTGTTTCCACTTGTTGGCTGTTAGGGATTATGCTGCTTTGAACGTTGGCGTGCAGGGTTTGTGTGGATATGCTTTCATTTCTCGCGAGCACCCACTGAGGAGCGGAATTGCTAGCTCACATGATCGCTCTGTTCAGCACCTGGAGAATGTGCACATCTTCATGCGAACGTAGGTTTTGGTCTCAACCACACCCTTTTGTGCAGATTGAGGATCCCTACTCCAGAATCCAAACTCTGAAACTCTGAGTTTCATGATGTCACAGTAGAAAATGTCCACACCCGGCCTCATGTGATAGGTCACAGTAAAAACTTTGTTTCGTGCACAAAGTTGTTTAAGCTAGTGTATGAAATTACCTTCAGGCTATGTGTGTAAGGTGGGTATGAAACACAGATGGGACTGTGGATCGTGCTTGCAATCCCAGCACTGAGGGAGGTCAAGGCAGGAGACTTGCTGGAGGCCAGGAGTCTAGACCAGTCTGGGCCACATAGGGAGACCCTGTCTCTATTAAGTAAATAAATAGCAAAAATAGAAACATAAAAGGATTTCGTATTTATTTATTTATTTTTATTTTTATTTTTTTTTGAGTTGGAGTCTCACTCTGTCGCCCAGACTGGAGTGCAGTGGCCACTCCCGGCCACCACAGCCTCGACCTACTGGGCTCCAGCGATCCTTCCACCTCAGCCTTCCGAGTAGCTGGAATTACAGGCGCACGCTACCACACCCAGCTAATTTTTTGATTTACTGTAGAGATGAGGTCTCACCAAGTTGCCCGGTGGGTCTCGAACCTGTGGGCTCAGGCGATCCACTCACCTCAGCCTCCCAAAGGCGCAGGATTACAGGCTGAGCCACCGAGCCCAGCTTGGATTTCGTATTTAGAGTTGGGTCCATCTCTGAGAGACTCATCATGTGTATGCAAATATTGCAGAATCTGAAAAACATCTGCAACACTTCTGGTCCTAAGCATTTCAGGTAAAGGGCCCTTGACCTGTTCTGTGTCTAATACCTGTTGAGTGCTGGTTGTTTGGCTTCCGCTCTTCACACCCTCATCTGAGCCATGGGCCATCTAAGGAAGGCAGAGTGGGCCTGGCTGCCGCCTCGCTCAGACCCAGTTGCTGTATGAGTGTTCACTGAGCAGCGAATGTAAGCCAGTTTGTCTGGGGCCGAAGCGTGTCAGTGAATAGACTCAGCCTGCTTGCACAGGCTTCCACTGTGACCAGGAGAGACAGCAAAAGACACACACAATAGTGCGTGATGAAGGTTGGTGTAAGTGTTGATGGCGATGAGGGCTCTGAAGCCAGTCTGGCCGTATTGCCCTGGACTTTGAGATGTGGCCTTCTCGCAGCGTGCACAGGCAGCAAGGAGGACTACAGGGCCCTGGCTCTCCCACCTGAGTCCAAGGAGCTGGTGCGTGGCCCTGGGGAGCCAGCGATGACACAGCTCTGCTCCTGAGCCCTGCCTCCCATGGCATCTGGCTCTGGGCCCTGTGCTTGCTCTCTGGGCTGGAGACTGGCCGGCATCTCATCCCCTTTCCTTCTCCTGCCTTGTGGGCCTTCGCGTGCCTGCCAGTCCCCTGGAGCCTGCCCCTATACCACCAGCCTCTTCCACTTTTGCGGAGAGCTGAGGGCAAGAGTTTTAGGGAGCCGGAAGGGGCGCATGTAAATGCGTGTCTGTCTCCACCCTGCAGCCCCCCTTGGGACACATGGACTCCAAGCCCAGCAGTAAGTCCAACATGCTGCGGGGCCGCAACTCGGCCACCTCTGCCGATGAGCAGCCCCATATTGGCAACTATCGGCTCCTTAAGACCATCGGCAAGGGGAACTTTGCCAAGGTGAAGCTGGCCCGGCACATCCTGACTGGGAAGGAGGTGAGTGCTGGGCCTGGGGACATGGCGGCACCTCCCAGCCCCGCTGACACTGCAGGTAGTGAGAGGACTGCTGCTGCAGCCAGCTCTTGTCTGCCAGGCAGAGTGAGGTCTGAGCTAGCAGAGGGCGAGGAGCCATGGGACAGAAAGGAAGAAGTGGGCTGGGCACGGTGGCTCACGCCTGTCATCCCAGCACTTTGGGAGGTGGAGGTGAGAGGATCGCCTCAGCTCACAGGTTTAAGACCAGCCTGGGCAGCGTGGCAAGACCTCGTCTCTACAATAAATCAAAAAATTAGCTGGGTATGGTGGCGTGCACTTTAGTTCCAGCTACTTAGAAGGCTGAGGCGGAAGAATCACCTGAACCCAGCAGGCCAAGTTTGAGTTGGCTGTGAGCATGCCACTGGCACTCCAGCCTGGGTGACAAGAGTGAGACTCTAACTCAAAAAAAAAAAAAAGAAAGAACAGGAATAAGTGGATTCAAGTCCTTCTCCTCGTCAGAGAGGTGATCTTGGGCTTTTTTTGTTTTTTGTTCAGGTAGCTGTGAAGATCATTGACAAGACTCAACTGAACTCCTCCAGCCTCCAGAAAGTAAGTACACGGTACCTCCCGTCCCCTTCTAGACCTAGTTAAAAATCTCTGGCCGTTTCACTGTCCCCTTCGCCCCTGTTGTGGCTCAGCTACCTTCAGGGCTTTGGTTGGATCCCTCATTGTGACTCCGCTTGAGTGGGCCTCCTGGCCACAGGCACTGGCTCTTCTGAAGTTCCCAGCTACTGGACCTACCTGTCTGACCTACTTCCCACATCTTGTTATCTTCTGGCCTGTGGCCAGCCCTATGCAAAAACACGTTTGTAGCCATTACTAGAAACACATGCAGCTACTCCAGATCTGGAATGGTCCAGGGGCGTGACTTTAGAAGTGCAGGGATAAGAGGAGGCAGGGAACCTGCCTCTGCTTCTGTGCCAGCTACATTTTAGAGAATTCATATGGAAGAGTGGAGTTTTTAGAAGCTGAACTCCAATTCTAAGTCTCTGACAGTGTGTGCAGACTAAGGACAGGTAACCCAAGTTTTCTTCTCACTTCTAGCCTCTTGACTAGAGGTCACAAAGATATTTGCACACAGTTTTTGCAAGAAGAGGTTGGACTTTTCCTTTCCTCCTTGTTTCAGCGGAACCTGGGGTCTTACTTAGCTGGTAGGGAACTCCCCTGGTGGGAACACAGACCCTCTGCCCGAGAAACCATGAAAGGCTGATGGGAGTGAGGAAAGAGGAGACCTTCATGTGCAGAAGGAGATAACTTGCCAGCAACTGGGTGTTGCAGAACAGGAAACTCTTTACCTTCTCTCCATGTCCTGGGCTCCAGCAGTTAGGAAAAAAGGAAGGCTACTGGTCTGGCTCCAGAATAGCTAGCTGCCCCTATTCAAGTCCGTCACACTTGTCTTTTGCCATAGTTCAGCTGACCCTGGCTCAGATTTTCTAACCAAGACCTAGTTCTTTCCATCTTGTGGCAGATCGATTTTTTTCCCATGTGCACATTGTGGTAGTTGAGATAGGGGCAGGCGTGACTCCATGCCGACAGTTAGACATAGTGATACTGTGAAACCTAGGAAAGGGGCTGAGGGTGGAATTAAAGAGTGGGTGAGTTCTTCCCCTGACATGCCAACAGCCAGAACCAAGGTGCTGCCTGCTTGTTCCCTACTCCTTTACCCTTGGGGTCCCTTCAAGAGTTCTTTGGTTCAACAGAAAATTTGCTGTCGGCATCAGGGCATCCCTCCTTGGAGCTTTCCAGGAAGAAGGGAGAGATCTGCTGTTGACTTCTTGGCTCTGACCCCGTAGAAGCAGAAGTCAGCGTGGGGTGGGCCATTTGTTCTTTGCAGCAGTCTAGCCTGCCACTGTAATAATCACCAGTCAGGTTGAGCACAATGGCTCAAGCCTATAATCCTAGCCCTATGGGTGGGAGGGAGGTCAAGGTGGGAGAATCGCTTGAGCCCAGGAGTTCGAGACCAGCCTGGGCAACCTGGTGAGGTCTTGTCTCTACAAAATTTAAAAATTGGCTAGGTGCGGTGACTCGAGCCTGTAGTCTCAGCACTTTGGGAGGCCGAGGCTAGAGGATTGCCTGAGCCCAGGGGTTCGAGACCAGCCTGGGCAACTTGGTGAGACCTCGTCTCTACAATAAATTTAAAAAAAAATTAGCCAGGCATGGTGGCACGCACCTGTAGTTCTAGTTACTTGGAAGGCTGAGGCGAAAGGATCACCGGAACCCAGCAGGTCGAGGCTGCGGTGGCTGTGAGTGTGCCACTGCACTCCAGCCTGAGTGACAGAGTGAGGCTCCGACTCAAAGAAAAACAAAATTAAAAAATTAGCTAGCACTTGCCCGCAGTTCCACCTGCTCAGAAGGCTGAGACCGAAGGACTGCCTGAGCCGGGAGCAATGAGCTATGATTATGCCACTGCACTCCAGTCTGGGATGGACAGAGTGAGGCTCCAACTCAAAAAAATAATAATCTCCAGTCAACCAGCCATATTGGTCCCTACCTCTTTTTTCTCCTTACTTCTCCCTGACTGTCTGGGAGGCATTAGCGCCAGACAAATATAGCCATTTTAAAAGCCTTTTAGCACACTTGGTTACCAAAGCCAACCTGATTAGGACCAGATCACTCTTGTCTCAATTTGATCCCAGCAGGGATCCCCAAAGGACAAGCACCGAAGAAGGTAGCCCCCTCAGGGCTCTAGACAAGAAAAGAAAACCTTACACTCTCCCAGGAGAATGCCACTTCCAGGCCAAGTGGGCCCCCTCTGGGACAGAGTCCTGGCAACTGCCTCTGGGCCCCATGTCAGCGCAGATCCGCCAATTATTGCCCCTGAGGTGGTGTCTAAGGTGTCTAGGCCTTTGTGTCTCTTCATGCAAAATAGCTGCCGGACCAGGAAAGAAAGCAAGACAAACTTGGGCTCTAACAGAGCTACAGTCAGATTTGGGACCCTGAAGACTGGAAGTCCTCTTTCTTCTTTTCTTTTGTAGCTAAGGAAAGCTCTGGGACATCATTAAAGGCAAGAAAACTATAGTCTGTTCCATAAACTGTATCCTGAATTCGGCCTCCTCGCCTCACCAAAGCAGCAACAACAGCAACCGATTGTGTTCTTTGTGCAAGCGAGGAGGCCTAGAAATTACAGAAACCCCCACCCCCAGGTCCCTGGCCCCACAGAGAAGGAGTTCATTCCTGTCATCTTTCTGTATGGAAATGTATGGTTTGGAGCCCCTGATTTTGTTTCACAAAGAGAGCGTGAGTGTGTGGAGGTGGATTTGATTAAAATTGGCATCAGCTATATATAGGAATGGCTTCTTCTGTCACCGCCCGAGGCCCATGAGGGAAGGGCCTGTCCCCTGGTGCAGAGCCCTCTGACGTCTGTGAATCGAAGGATGAAGGGGTCCCCTCTGGAGCTCCAGCACCCTTTCACACAGACCACGCTGGGGTGTGTTTCGTTCCTGAACCAAAACAGCGACTCGGGTTCTGAAGGTTCACACACGTGGGCTCACACTCCCCTCTGCGGAGGCACCCCGACAAACCCCGCCAGCTCTCGCAAGCTGGCTGTGGTAGGCATGGCGGAGGGCATGGCGGCCTATCCCGATGCCGAGCCAGGTGGCACGTCTCGGGGCCCAGCCTCCTACCACGTCCCTCGCTTCTCGGCACGGGCAGGGCCTTGGATGGGCTGGGCCGCTGCCCTGTTGCTTTTTCCTGCTTGATTTTGGGTTTGTGTTGCTTTGGTTTTTTGGAGCAAGAACCCTGGCAGGGCTTCCGTTGGGAGGAACCTGAGGGGAGCGAGTTGAACAAGCATGACCCCTGGCGTTCTGTTTTCCAGCTGTTCCGTGAAGTGAGAATAATGAAGGTCTTGAACCACCCCAACATAGGTGAGACCCGGCTGTCATTCCTCTCTTCCTCCCGCACACACAGGGCTCCGCTCTCCCGCGTGTGGCCCTCCTCTCTGAGGCGCACGGCTTTCTGGAGCCTGGAGCCTTCCAGGATACCCCTGGGGAAGTTCAGCTCCAATCTACCTCTCCGTCTGGTGCCTGTCCTGGGCTGTGCTCAGTAGCGTGACTGGTATGGGAGGAGCTTGTCCTTGGCGGGTGGGGGAGGTCGTGGGGGGCTTCGTCCCGAGGATGCCTCTTCACGTGTTAGGGTGCAGCCTGTGGGCCCTGCTGTTTCTCCAAGTTCGGCTCCAAATTCGGCCTTTTCTCTTCCAGTGAAGTTATTTGAAGTGATAGAGACCGAGAAAACGCTCTACCTTGTCATGGAGTACGCTAGTGGCGGTAGGTGTGACACCGCCTCTTCCTGTCTCGTCCCCGCCTTTCCCAGCGCCCCCAGCTCTTACCTCGATCCTCACCCCATCTCTTGCAGGAGAGGTATTCGACTACCTCGTGGCTCATGGCAGGATGAAAGAAAAAGAGGCTCGAGCCAAATTCCGCCAGGTGGGTGTGACTCCCTCCCTGGCTCGGTCCTGACCTCTGCCTTGGGGCTTCGAGCCACACGCGGAGGAGCTCTGCCTGTCTGCGTGGCAGCCTCAGGCATGTTCACAGGCCACTGCTCCGCCAGACCCTGGGACCCACCCTGGAGTGCCCCGGGCTGAGCCTTCTTCCTTCCTTCCAGATAGTGTCTGCTGTGCAGTATTGTCACCAGAAGTTTATTGTTCATCGCGACTTGAAGGTAAGGTGCGCTCTTATCTCCTGAGCTGTTGAGTGGGGCCGGGTTGCTCCCCCTCCGTTCTCCCTGATGGGGCCTTCAGGTCCTGAGTGTCCAAGGAAACTCCAGAGAACTTCCACTTTTGTGATGGCCGTGAGCCCCTGGGGCTGCTTCCGATACAGTCCCCGCTGCTGGACGCGGGGGTCCGGCTCGTGAGCAGGGGCTCTCTGCATCTCACCTCTTGGCACATCATCCCTCGGGCTGCCAGGCGGGCCAAGAGCACTACAGGCTTCCCAGCCCTCAGGCAGCCTGGCGGTGACGGAGGAAGCACGTGGCATGTCCACAGCTACATCACAGCCGCTTGGCAGGCTTGCGCGCGCACACCTTCTCTGTTGCTAAGATGCTCAAGTTTGGGGATGCCTATGAGTCTCTTGGCCACTAAGTTCTCGCAGACATGACCGTGATTAGCCTGGGCTGACGCTCTCCGGTCTCTGGGCCTTTGGATCCCAGCTCTCCTGTGGCGCCTGTGAGAGGTGTGGCCGGTACTGCTTCCTCCGGCCCAGCCTGTTCTGACTGAAGCCCTACCCTGAAACCGAGCGAGAAAGTTCTGAGCCTGGAGATGACTTCCCACGGCGCTCCCGTTCCCTCCGCACCTTCCTGCCCAGGGCTCTCATGTGGTCTGCCTGGTTCTCTGACATTTTCCATCTTACCTCCCAGGCTGAAAACCTGCTCTTGGATGCTGATATGAACATCAAGATCGCAGACTTCGGCTTCAGCAATGAATTCACCTTCGGGAACAAGCTGGACACCTTCTGTGGCAGTCCGCCTTACGCTGCCCCAGAACTCTTCCAGGGAAAAAAATACGATGGCCCTGAGGTGGACGTCTGGAGCTTGGGAGTTATCCTGTATACACTGGTCAGCGGATCCCTGCCTTTTGACGGACAGAACCTCAAGGTGGAGTGAAGCACAAGCTTAGATCATTGTTACCACTTCTCAGTTCCTCTCTCGACCTCTGGTCTTGACCCTCCCTTTCGGCACCTGGAGATGAATAGCCTCAGCTCCTTTCCCGAGAGGTGGGCCAGGTGGGGCGTGTGTTCACCCCAGGGCGTCCTGGACCGCCAGCCTCTGACTGGTCGAGGGCCTCGCTGCCTCTCTGGTGAGGCGCCTTGTCCCAGGCTGTCGGCGCGCTCTCTGTCTGCCGGCCAGTCTGAAGCTCTCAGGACCCTGGGTGTTGGGTTTCTCCCCGTGAGGGTGGCCTTGAGGGGCCTTCCCTTCTCTGACCCCAGATCCCCCCACAGGAGCTGCGGGAGCGGGTGCTGAGGGGGAAGTACCGCATTCCGTTCTACATGTCCACGGACTGTGAAAACCTCCTTAAGAAGTTTCTCATTCTTAATCCCAGCAAGAGAGGCACTTTAGAGGTGAGCGGCCTGGAGCCCACCTGGCTGGCGGTCCTGGGGTCCCCACGTGAACCTCCGAGCTGAGTGTCCCCCCCCTGTGCCCCCAGCAAATCATGAAAGATCGGTGGATGAATGTGGGTCACGAAGACGACGAGCTCAAGCCTTATGTGGAGCCCCTCCCTGACTACAAGGACCCCCGGCGGACAGGTGAGCCGGCCGGGCCCTGCGGGCGCGCCTGCCCACAGTCCCAGCCGGCCCTAACCGTGTGTCCCCCATGCAGAGCTGATGGTGTCCATGGGGTATACGCGGGAAGAGATCCAGGACTCGCTGGTGGGCCAGAGGTACAACGAGGTGATGGCCACCTACCTGCTACTGGGATACAAGAGCTCCGAGGTGTGTGCCCCACTCTGTTCCCCGACCCAGCCAGCCTCGCTGTCAGTAGCCCCCAGCTTCTCACCCCCGTCAAGGGCAGAAGTTCGCCTCTGAGTAGGTGTGCTCTCTGCTGACCAGCGTTAAGCTCAGCTCTGATGTCTAAGGGCCTCTGGTTTGCTCATGGATCTCCCACCGGTAAATTAGTAGAAAGCTGGGGTCAGTGTGGGACTGGTCAGGGTTGCGACACGGGTGAGTTGATCTGGCTCAGTCTGTGTTGAGGAGATGGTCTGGGTCATCTAGACTGGCAGTTCTGTGTTGATCTAGGTATCTTTGTGTCTCTGTGTCTGGAAGTGTCCACCTCCAGGTGTGTGGGGGACATCTTTGAGTGCTGGGTCTCTTCTAGGGAGCTTGAGGCTGGGTGTTGCTTCCGCCTGGTGTTTGCATCAGGGTCTGCATATCTGGGTGCACAGTGTCCATCCTCCCGTCTGTGGTCTGGAAGCTCTGCGACTGTCCTTCTGCCCGTTTGGGTTTTGCTTGTCTTCTCTGTGTCCCCACGTGAACTCTCAGCCTTCCCACCCTGCTCTCTCTCGGTGGTGGTAGCTCCCTCTCTTGGTTCTCTCCCTGGGGGTGTCTGGTGACATGTGGTCTGGGCCCGTGTTGCTCTGTGGCGAGGGGGGTGGTCTCTGAGTCTGAGCATGTGTTCTGGGGTGTTTGTGTTTCTGGATGTGTAGGCGTGCGTATCGGTCTCGAGAGCAGGCTGACTTTCCAGGGGCGTCTTTGGCTCTTTGCCCATGTCTGTGCCAGGGCACGTGTGCCTTCAGGGTAGGGGGTTGGGTTGAGGTGGTATTGGTCTTGCAGGTGGACGTCTTGTGTGGTCCTGGGGCATAAGTGTGTCCGTCCACAGGCGTCTTCACGTGCCTTCAGCCCTCCTTTGATGGCACATATTCTGGTCTTGCAGTTGGAAGGCGACACCATCACCCTGAAGCCCCGGCCTTCCACCGATCTGACCAACAGCAATGCCCCATCCCCCTCCCACAAGGTACAGCGCAGCGTCTCGGCCAACCCCAAGCAGCGGCGCTTCAGCGACCAGGGTAAATGCTCTCGGGCCTTGCTGGTGGGGCTTGCTCCTCCCCAGAGGGGCCACAGCTTCTCGGGGGCTTTGGGTGACCCAGCTGAGCTTTAGCACTGGCTCGGCCACTGGTGAGCAGCATGGCCACGAGCAAGTCACTTCCCTTCCCTGGCTTCTGTGGAACGGGGTGTGTAGGCTGCTGGCCAGGCCAAAGGAGGGTGCCTGCATGGGGTGGGCACGAGGGGCCCGGCCTCACGCAGCCCCGTCCCCGGCCCGCAGCTGGTCCTGCCATCCCCACCTCCAACTCCTATTCTAAGAAGACTCAGAATAACAACGCAGAGAACAAGCGGCCCGAGGAGGACCGGGAGTCGGGGCGGAAGGCCAGCAGCACCGCCAAGGTGCCTGCCAGCCCCCTGCCGGGCCTGGACAGGAAGAGGACCACCCCCACCCCCTCCACGGTGAGCCCGCCCTGCTCTCCTTCTGCCGTGGGGCCCGCCCTCTCCAGGCAGCGCCCTCTTGACCCAGACCCTGCTCTCTGGCTGCTGCTTTGCTGAGGGTAGAAAGCCCAGCCCCCAGGAGCAAAAGCGAGATCCTCTCCCTCCTCAACCTGTCACTGTCTGTTCGGGGTGGCAGGCGGGGACGGGGGCTGGCCCTGAGCGGGGAGAACCTGGCTGTCGCTGCCCGACGCTCGGCGTTTCTGACACGACTTCTGCCCCTGCGTTCCCCGCAGAACAGCGTCCTCTCCACCAGCACAAGCCGAAGCCGGAACTCCCCGCTACTGGAGAGAGCCAGCCTCGGCCAGGCCTCCATCCAGAACGGCAAGGACAGGTGAGTGGCCTGGGCCTGCCGCCTCGCTCCCCAAGGGCCTCCGCTCGCCGAGCGACATCTGTCAGCAGCCCCCCTCCTGTCCTCGCCAGCGCCACGCTCCCTGGAGTGCGTCCTGGCCCTGTCCCGTCCAGCTGTCGTCCCCCCTCCCCCATCCGTGCCATCCCCTCCTCCTGTCCTCCGACTGCCTGGCCGTTTGCCGCCTGTGGGCTCTCCGTGGCTGGTCAGCTGCACACTCAGCCCTTGACCACAGCCAGGGCATGGCGGTGCCCTCTGGGCATCAGCCCCTCAGGCCCAGCTCAGGCAGAATCAGGACACGCCCGTCTGAGCGCTTGCACGTTGAGGTGACCCCGCGGGCCTGTGAGAGCAGAGGGCCGGCCTTGACCGGCAGCATTTCCTGTGCGTCGCGTGCCGGGCCCTCCAGTCTGGAGCTTCATGAGAGTTTCCCCTTAGCCATACCCGCCCGCTCTGGAGAAGCAGCGTCCTTGATCTTGGAGTTCCCAGTGCAGCCCGGAGGCCAGGCCTCCTGTTGGCCTTGCTCCCTCCTGAGTCCTCCTCCCCGGCTCTGGCGTACCTCGCTGCCTCCTCACCCTGCTCCCGCTGCCCGCTGCCATGCACAGCCCTCGCGTGCGTCCCGCTGCCGCTCCGCGCCTGGCCTGCATCCTGCGGGGGCTGCCTCCTCGGAGCCTCCTGCCCTCGCCCACCCCTAACCCGGGCCTCTCCGCGCTTTTGTCTCCTAGCCTAACCATGCCAGGGTCCCGGGCCTCCACGGCTTCTGCTTCTGCCGCAGTCTCTGCGGCCCGGCCCCGCCAGCACCAGAAATCCATGTCGGCCTCCGTGCACCCCAACAAGGCCTCTGGGCTGCCCCCCACGGAAAGTAACTGTGAGGTGCCGCGGCCCAGGCAAGTGTGCTGGGCAGTAGGCACCCTGCTGCCCGCAGCCCGTCCCACGCGTTGCCCCCCTGAGGGGTCCTGCTCTGTTCCTGTCCCGGTAGCCTGTCCCCTGTGGCCAGAAGTGGAGGGAACAAAAGAGCGTCGGTGCCCCTGTCAGAGCAGGTGTGCAGGAAGCTGTCCTGAGGCTCCGAAGGGAAGCCTTTGCGTTCTGAAGCTTCCCGGCTGGCTTCCCGGGGTTCTGGGGCAGTCGGCAGCACAGGGCCTGAGTCCTGGAGGGCCCGTCCATGGCTCCCGGCAGCCGCTCTCTGCAGGCAGCCGCTCTCTCTAGCCTGTGCTGCCTTCCACCCC